CTCGCCATCCGCATATATGGGTTCCATCAATCCATTTTGACCGATTGGCGCATCAAAAGTCCTAAGGGATTGCCCTAGGTTTCCGTCGGCATCTCTTAGGCACCAAGCCACATACTCCTGAGTCTGATGAAAATACTCTCCCACGTTTACAAACACCATAGATCGGTATCTTACATAAGATTCCCCATTTCCTGCGGGGTATGTACTTGTATACTGATGTATATATACAGGTATTCCAAAAAGCGGCGGATTCGGCATTCTTATGGCTGGGGGTCTAAAAATGTGGGTTATTACAACCGTGAGACGAATTTCAATGAGTATAACCCTTAAACCTAGATTAAGCTAACATGCAATCTCCTGACAGGCAAAACAACATAATACGCAAATAATAACCTGGGCCCTCGGGCCCAGATAGAACATAGGAATTTCCCTGCAGGTTAGGCAGTTTATTAAATGTCCTCAAGATACGTGCGCGAATACAATGATCACACATGCGCCACACATATACCCACAGTATTCATCTCGCATGCCGGGTCATGCATTCTATGCATACAATGTCAATGTCATGCTATGCTCTCATTTCGATTCACCTAGCATACTGTCTCAATTATTTATTACGACTCGAGTCAACGCCACTTCCGGCCCGGTGCGTCTAGCCTGCTTCAAAGTGCATGAGGCGCAACACCGATCTGGCCCAGTGTCTCTAGCTTGCTTCAAAGTGCATGAGGCGCAACACTGATCTCCTTACGAACCAGAGCCCGCGTAAAACGCATCAGGATGGTCGTCTTCCGGACGAACCGGGCATCGTCCTGCTGCAAAGTGCATGAGGACGGCATACCCCGCGTAACACGCATCAGGGCGAATTGTGATCACACATACATACACTGCCAATTATTATCTGAACCCCGCGTAAAACGCATCAGGGCATAATTAGTGATCACATGCTCATGGCAGGCACGCATTCTCACACAATTACATTACACGCCTCATTCTCGACATTCGAAATGCGTGACCATGCAATGCAGTACAATACACCATGAGCAACAACAATTTCAGGCATCCGGTCAAATTCATGCCATCAATTGGCCAATCACACTCCGCAATGGTCGGCCACTCAGTCACACGACATGGCATTAGTCAATTCCCACAATTGGGCACAGCAATCAACAAGTCGTTCAGCCCGGGCATACCCGGCAGTCCAGTCACTTAATCCTCAACTAAACCATGCTCACCCAATAAATCACCAATATTATTCTAGTAATATACCTCATCAAATGGTGCTCTAATTTTTGTCCCAATATATACCGACAATACTCAACCCAGTCCAGAAAATGCACTATCAGTCCTAATTTGGATTTAGGAAATACACTCACTTAATTCTAGACCACGACGACGCGAAACGAGCGGCCGATTGCCGGTGAACAGCGAAATCAGCGGCGGCGTTTCAGAGGCGGTGACGGCGGCCGGCGGCGTACGGACGGGCGTACGGACGGCGGTACGGACTGTACGAAACATCGTACGGTTCTGTACGAACGCCGTACGGACTTGTACGGACAGTGGCCGATGAGGTGGCGATGGCTGGCGTGGCGGCTGTACGGACGCCATACGGACGGCCGTACGGGGACGGCGTACGGGCGGCCGGAGAGGGAGAGAAAAAGAGAGAGAAGTAGGGGTCGGGATGAGGGTGATGTTGATGAGGTGAGGTTAGGCGAGGCAGCAGCTCCGGCGGACGGCGGCGGCACGGCGACGGTCCGGCGAGCTCCAGCCGGGAGGATGAACCGAGAGAGAGAGAGAGAGAGAGAGAGAGAGAGAGAGAGAGAGAGAGAGAGAGAGAGAGAGAGTTCGGGAGAGGAGAGAGAGGGAAAACCAGCCAGAATGAGGAAGAGAGAGAGAGAGAGGTCTGGTCCAAGATGGTCAAAAAGATCAACCAAATTGCGCCACGTGTCGCAATCCTAGACGATTTGACCAAAATGCCCTTGATCCAACGGTTCTAAAGAGATAGGATCAAATAATTGAGGGGCAATATAGTCTTTGGCCCCTAATAATTGAGATAATTCCAAATTTATTTAATTCCCTTGATTACCAAAATTTTCGGAATTAATTTTTGGCCTAGGGGCAAAATGGTCATTTTTCCGGCCCCGGGGCGAAATTCCAATTTTTGGCTATATCAACCCCAAATGAATGTGGCCAACATAATATGGCGTCGGAATCGCGAAAATAGCTTCTTAAGCCCTTGAAAATCGACTGCCAAGTTCTGGGAATAAAATAATATTATTTTTCACTTTCGAGCCAAAATTCCAATTTTTGACCGAAACCACTCTAAATGTGCATGGCCACCCCAAAATGACCTTGGCCGCGAAAAATGACCTCATACGGGCACAAAAATCAACATCGGCACCCAGAGGGGCAAAATCGTAATTTTTGACTTCCGGGTCGAAATTCCATTTTTTGACCGGACTAACTCCAAACGTATGTGGCCAGTATAATATGACGTCAGAATCGTGAAAATAGTCATGCAAGCCTTCGAAAATCGGTATCAAAGTCCGGGTCCAATTTCGTGACCAAAACTCGCTCGATTTCCAATTTCAGGATCTCTCACTAACGGGCGGCTGTCTAGAGGTTACGCGTATCGACTTAGGGTTATCCGAGTCATGACGGTCCTGATCATTGAGAGAATGAGAAATTATCACCAATCCTAGAGGTCACGATCGTCCGGTTTAAGTTTAGGACTGGTTGGCCACGTGCACTCTCGGTCATGCAGAATCACCTGCGATCAGATTGTACATCGTTGGCCTTTGCCGAACCAAATCCGTTACTTTTCCTAAGATCGATCCACATTGGTTCATAATATTCTCTCATCATTTCTCGTGATCGGTGTCCGCTTCGCGATCAGATCCTTGGTCCACGTACCGCTTTCTAATTAGCCTTACCCTATTGGTTAGTATCCCGAGAGTGATCAGCTCTGGGCAAGACTTACTAAAATGAAATGCGAAATATTGTCAATTTTATTGATCCCGGAATTACATCGAAATTTGGGCTGTTACAAGTGAAGCCGGCAAAAGAGTCCTCTAGATAATCCAACCTCTCTTGTAAAACAAAATTAGGAAGGTCAATCATAAGTAAAGCAAAAACGGCTGAGGACACATCATGCCGTACTCGGGTAATCATATGCACCTTTTGGTTCATTGAAGATGACGCAAAGACTAATGCTAAGTAGATGGAATATACAGAGAAAGAGAGAGAGCATGCTCTCCTAAAAACCGTGCAATGTATGGGCAGGGGATCCCATTTCATCTTGATCTTTATTAATTAGAATTATGTGTTGCGCATAGTCAAATAATCGTCGGTAGAGTAAAGCAAATATCCGCGTATTTCGTACACTAATTTGATCGGTAGAGTGTATCTGAAGCATTACAAAGAAATATACGTATATCATCGCCTTTCGATATATCTCTCTTGTTTGTCTTTGACAGATGAATAGGTTTTGGAACATATAGTAACTCCAGTTAGCCCTGTAGATTTGTGAAGTGTATATGTCATTCAATGAATTATTATCTTAAATTAGTGGTGTCTAACTTCATTGACGATGTTACTTAATTGTGTAAATCATTAAGGAAAAATGATACAAACAGTTCCCGAACTTTGGTTTAATATGCAATGTGGTCCATGAATTTTTAATTTTTTTACTGTGATTTCTAAACTTTTAGTACATATTCAATTTAGTCTCTGAACAATATGAAAATTTTCAATATAGTCCTTCCATTAATTCAAGTTCAGGGACTACATTGAACATTTTCATATAATTCAGGGACTAAATTGAATATGTACTAAAAGTCCATGAACCATATTGAACAAATTAAAAGTTCGGAGACCAAATTGAACATTAGGCTAATGTTCAAGGATTATATTAAATAAATTAAAAGTCCAAGGACCAAATTGTACATTGAGTCAAAGTTCAAGGACTATTTGTGTCATTAATCATTAAAGTAGAGAAAGATACTCACACAAAAGCAATTCTAACTTCCGAGGTTTGAAAATCGTTATCCATTTTTCATTTCTTGTGTAGTTACCCACGCAATGCATGCAATACGAACTAAAGAGAGGGAAAATTACCAAAAAAATCTGAACTTATTGTATTTGTGTCAATTTAATTGCAAGCCTTTCAATTTAGCCAATTTAATCCTTCATTTTTTGACGATTTGCCAATTTTTTCATTCCGGCCAATTTTGGTTGGAAATCACCAATGTGGACGCTAGCAATGCCATGTAGGATAGCCGGTGTTGACATAAACAATTTTTTATAATTTTTTAATTAATTTTTTATTTTTATTTTTCGTTCTTTCTTTTCTTTTTTTTCTACGAGGGCTGGCGAGGGTCATTAGCTGGCCCTCGTTGGTTGGGGGCGAGGTTCTCCGCCCTCATCCAAATCTAGCGAGAGTTCGGCCCTCGCCTGTGGTCGACAAGGATTGGCCAGAGAACCTTGCTAGGACTAAAAGAAAAAAAAAGGAAAAGAAATAAAACTAGAGAAGAAAAAATTATAAAAGATTTGTAAAATTTTTGTACAAATTATAAAAATTGTCCACATCAACGCCTATGTCATGAAAGATGGCCAATGTCCACATCAGCAATTTCCTGTCAAAATTGGCAAATCGTCAACATGTTTAGAACTAAATTGGCCAAATTGAAAGGTATATGACTAAATTAGCATAAGTGAATAGGTTCAAATTTTTTTTAATTATTTCCCTTAAATTAGATGTATGAGATTAAAGCTAGTATTGGGTTAACATGATCCTTGTGTTATTCAATTCGATAGATCTTGCTCAAGTCTACTTTGAATTGCGATCGATTTCTATGGCAAAAAATGAAAAGAAAAAGTGAGAGGGGCAAGCAATTTTTTTATTCGGGTACCATGCAATTTTCCACAAGTTTGTTGCAATTATCAAAATGTTTCTCTGAATTTTTCTGATTCTTACATGCCAGAACTGTCGTGGAACATGAATATTGACCTTTCCAAAAAGGAAAAAGAGTGGGGGAATCCATTAACATGATAGTAAGAAGATGTAGCTACTACATCTATAAAGTTCGCTTAGAAAGCAACTATCATCTCTTCAAATTAGACCAATTATGCAAGTTTGTCCAAATACACGTCGCTCTACATTTGCGCAGTATCCTCTAGCCTTGCTAACTTCTACGTTTTTCTATGTATCCGAAGCCTGTACCGTATACCGTTTGTCTAATCTCTCTCAAAATCAATCAATGCACTACAGAACCTCACCGGGCTGCATTTCGCGCTGATTCTTTTACATGTACACGATGATCAGAGCAAGTGCTTGCCTTCATCTTCAAGTGCATCATCATAGCCTCATCTCATTTGGAAGTTGAGTGCTTTGATGCAATAAGCAAACATGAAGGCAAAGAAGAAAGTGAAAGCAACCAGGACTCCAGCAACAGGTCCCATGAAGTTTGGGTCATACCCAAAGGTTTCTTGAATGTATTGCTTGATGGGTACTTCACCTTGGCCAGGGACTTGGATCTTGTGCTCGATGTCACCATACTGTGATACTATGCATCCATACACGGTCCACGCCACGGGACAGATCCAGTAGTACCACACCCACCATTTCGGTATCCTCTGAAAAAGAATTGAGAACAAATTGTTATGTCCTGTGCGATAAGTATGACCAGATGGTCGTAAAAGAGTTAGAAACTTTGAGGACTGAAAGGAACCCACTGGTCTTGGGATGAAGAATCCGGAGAAAAGATTGAAAAGACCATAGAAAGCGGCGGCGAAGATGGCGGCTACTTGCTGGTTGGGCGTGAGGGAGACTGTCATCATGCCATAGTATGTGAAGTAGAGAAAGGAGAAGAAGCAGATGAAGAAGAACCAGAAGAATTTTGCCACTGTCCACTCGAAGCAGACCATTGCATACACTATCACCGTGTAATATGTGGTCTGAAAGAGCACATATGGCACTTCGCATATCACCTGCACATAGCGAATCGCTAAAGTTTAGTGAATTGGAAGACGTATCACGACAAAGAACTGAGGTATAACTAAGTAATTTATTCTCACCTGTGCAAGTGCGTAAGGCAGAGCAGAATACATTCCAGCAGCTCTTTCTCGATAAAACACGGTTCTCTCGACAGCTATCACGGGTTGTACAGTCGAACAATTATTAATGCCGACAAATAAGACGGCAGCGTACATAGCTCCAATGATCATGGTCAGATCATTCTGATTATCCCTGGAATTGGATGAAAGATTGAAGTTTAGCCTCGATGTTCTATGAAAAACCACAATGCAGAAATCAGCTCCATATAGGACATGGAGGCACGTACCTTCTGGTGCCGACCCTCCAGAAAATTGTCCCTACCATTAGGGCACATGCTAATGTGAAGAAGTATCTCACAAGGTTATAGTCGGGACTTCTCCAATAAGTCCACCATTGTTTCCATAGACAAGATTTGAACTGTCCCCATGAGGACTGCGAGTATTGCGTTGGGAAATACAGATCCTTCGCTCCTGGAGGTGGCGTACTCAGCTCCCTCACCAGTTCCTTGTTCCTCCTGCACAAACGCATGTAAGGTTAGCAGTCAGCAACAAAGTTTTGAATGAACAACATGAAAAGGATTTAGTTTGATCTCAAGTCTCGGCACTTCACTTACTTGGACAAGGATGATGATTTGTAATGCACAGCAAAGTCCATCTTCAGCCGTATTTCAGCTGCTATCGAACTCACCTCAAGCATCCACGTTGCGGGATTGTACTTCTCCTTGATTTTCGGGACTCCAGGAATAGACTGAAATTTAGTAAAAAGGAGCATGAGACCAGAGGTTTCTGCCTTGTCAATATGTACCAGTCCAGATGTGTAAAAAGAAATTTGTGCAAGTATACAAGATTAGTACCTCAAAGTATTCGACGACCTTGTGGGAATTCCGACCCAGTGGTCCGTAATATATCACTTGCCCTCCTCTCTTCATTAGCAGCAGCTGAAGCAAAGGTAATCCAGTTAAATATGTGAACTTTTATTAGTCATTGCTTGCTTGTAGGATGAAAGGAACAGAAGTTTCAAATTAGTTACCTCATCAAAGGCTTCGAAGATGTCGATGCTAGGCTGGTGAATCGTGCAGACCACAGTCCGACCAGTATCCACTGTGTTTCTCACTGCCCTCATAACAATAGCGGCAGCTCGTGCATCAAGACCTGATGTTGGCTCATCCATGAATATAATGGATGGATTAGCGACAAGCTCTACAGCTATAGTCAATCTTTTCCTTTGTTCTGTCGATAAACCCGTAATTCCTGGAAGACCAACTAGTGCATCCTTGAGATTATCTAATTCTACCAATTCCATCACTTCATCGACAAAAATCTGCCAGCACAACAATTGCAAGATAGAATTACTAAATGTCAGTCTTTCTGTCACAACTTGAATAAATAGGTGAATGGCCGAAATAGAATGTACTCATACCATTTTTTCTTCTTTCCCAACTTCTTTTGGTAGACGTAGGAAAGCTGAGTAGATTAAAGATTCCCTCACAGTGACTTGTGGCGAGTGAATATCGTTTTGCTCACAGTATCCAGAAATTCTGGCGAAGGTTTCTTGTTTCTTGGGAAATCCCGAAATCCTGATGTCGCCTTCCACATAGCCACCCGTCTTCCGCCCCGCTAAAACATCCATTAAGGTAGTCTTTCCAGCTCCGCTTACTCCCATTAGTGCAGTCAACACTCCAGGTCTAAATGCACCCGTTACTTCCCTGAGTAACTGAAGCTTGTCATCCGTGACCCCTTGTTCCTTCATTTCCTGTTGAATAAAGCTCAGAACATTTGAGTTCTTGACTAGCTCTCACCATCTCAAATCACAATAGATTATGTGATGTTGACTTAAGACGAGCACTAAAAGGTAAAGATTACATACCGGAGGCATGTCTACATAATAATTTACGCTATCAAAAGACATTGCTAGAGGAGTGAAAGGCAGAACCATTCCTCTTTTCACAGCAACGCCTCTTGCTGATTCAAGAATGGAATCGGCATTTCTGCTCAGGCCATTGGCATTTGTTCGGCTACTCATCCTTCGGAGCTCCATGCCTCCTGAAAGATTCGGAAGCAAATGCTCATATCAAAACCGGTAACATTTTCACTGTAAGGAGTAATTTGTCCTATGTAGTTTTATTTACTTGTGTTGTTCCCATCGAATGTAGATAAGGGCCCACTAAAAGACTCTCTCATAATTGAAGAAAGTCTCCTCATTCTAGATTTGTCCTTCAATTCTGATTGTTCGTCCTCCTCATCTTTGTCTGCTTCTTCAGATATTGTAGCTTGAGGTTTTCCAAGTGCTGCAGTTTCATGCATCTTATTAAACAAGAGACTAACAAAATCGACACCCTCGGAGGAAGTATGTCCGGGGAACCAAAACTTGGAATTTTTAATGCATTGAGCTAGAGCTTACGATTTAGGTACGTGAGTGCAAGGGTATAGAGAACATTCAAGAGAATTATGAATCCAATAAGTGCTGATGCACCAATCCAATACCAATTCTCATTGGAGAGACCATAGTTCTTGAGCACTGCCAAACCCGTAGTTGTATTACTGCTGGTAGCCTGTAAGACAACCGATTATTTCTTGTAAAGATTAAAAAGGAACAAAAGATGTATTGTCCCCTAATACATAGTACACGTTTGACAGTTAGAAATGCTATACTTTAGTTGTGTTCATTCTAACACAAGTCAATTAAGTAGGCAAAAAGCTTAAAACAATGAAATATCTGTAGAACAAAATGTCTCAGTCAAATTGCTGTAATGACACATAGCAGGCCTAATTCAAGAGAACATGGGGGGACAATAGGAGATTTACCGGTTCATTCGTCCAACGAGGAGCAAACATCTCATTCACAGCTATGGCATTGAAAGCATAAGTTAAAGGCGATGCCCAGTGACCCCACTTCCACCAACGAGGTATATTACCTGCCACATCCAAACTAGCTTTTAGCTCTCTGCTATTACTCCACCTTGCTTGCTAAGTACAAGTGAGCACCTATTCTTTTAACAAGTAGTCTATGCGTCCTTTTCCTTTTATGGAACACTTACTTAGAGGAATAATGAAACCTCCAAGCAAAAACACGAGGAGAAGCATTAAAGCACCGCCCGTACTAGCAATGATCACAGTCCTACAAGTGCCTGCAATGAATCGAAATAGCCCAGCAGCCATTTGTTGGATCAAGAATATCAATAGAAGTTGCTTGAAGAACCTGCAAGTAGTAAAACCACAGAATGATCATTCGGTCCATTACTTTGAAGCGTCATTCCTTAGAGTCTACCATGATTAACGAAGTTCATCATTGTGCAGTAACATTTAGGGTCAATTGTAATTTTGCCTTAAGTAAGGAAAGAATTGCAGCTATCTACAATAATGATTCAACTTGTGCAATATATGGCCGTGACGTCCCAGAGTAACTGCAAACCAATACAAAGTCTGTCTGCTTTATCGATTAACAGTGAGGAATTTCAGTTAAAACAATACATTCTTGCAGGAAAAGCGACACTAAGCAATTCTTCCAAACTAAGTTACCGAAGCTATTTTGGTCAATCAAGAAGAAGCTCTTGAGAAATATCATTACTTGGAGGGCTAAAACATAGAGAGAAACTTGCTTATTAGATTGAATGATTTGTAGACTTTTTGGGGGTAGATTGTGAAGAGCCAAAGTCAGGAAAGACATTGAACTCCACCAAAACTTTAGGGTGGGCAAGAAGCAATTGACCCTTGCAACTTATGGTGATATCGTTGAAGGATCCTTGGGATGCTTCAGCAACTTCAGTTCACATACCTGCTAGCTTCAGGTGCAAATCCCATGGAATAGTACGTAATGACCAGCCAAACCGCAGACTCCATCACGGACATGGGAATCGCAAGCAAGAAATTAGGCAACGTGAAGGTCCAAGGAGGGTGAAACAGAAGGTCTCTCTGCTTGTAGAAAACCGGAAGCCTCTGAATAGCCATGCTCAGCTCAGCAAAACCATTGAACATGTTGATGATCATCGAGAACAGGAGAGCGCCGATATACAGTTGCCCATCCATTTCGGTCTTAGTGTGCATCCTGCTCCTGATGAACACTGTCGACCCAATGACCGCCATGATAATGATCTGGATGGTCTTGAAAACGTACACAAATGCGTTTTTCTTTATCAGCAGCCATTCCTTGTCAAAACAGGTTTTAACTAGCTCCATCATAGGGACAGAGTATTTCGTGAAGGCTAGAGCCGCTTGGTGATTCCTGCTCCTATCAAATGGGATGGAGAGCTCGTTGTCGAGCCTCATGCCGACATGAAATTGCTTGAATCTGTTGGCGAACTCCCTGACTGATATGTACCTGTACGGTTTGGTTTTGTCCGCCCAGTATTGCTCTTGGTCCTTTCTCGAGGTAACCTGTTGTAGTAGCACACATCAAGCTAGACCATCAGATTCATAGGGGTGACGATATCAGACACGACGTGATAACATTGGTTTACATAATATACAGATTTAAAAGCAGCCTAAAGTCTAGCACAGTTTGAATGTGTTTTTTTTTTTTTTTTGGTAAGGTCACAGTTTGAATGTGTTTAACTCTAATTTAAATGAAATTCCTAGAATCCGACCTGACCTGCCCAATGATAATTCTACCAAATAATGACACTCAAAGTTGGAACAAAATGCAGCAAAACTATCAAATTAAGCACCCCATTATTGCTTTTTTTTTACCTCTTGCAAGAAATCAGCAGTACCCTTTCTCTCAGGGCACCTGAAACCGCATCGCTCGAAGAACTCGAGAACATGTTCTCGTGGTCCCTGGTACACAATATGGCCTTCTGATAAGAGAATGATATCGTCAAACAAATCAAACGTCTCCGGTGCAGGTTGCAGCAACGACATTAAGATTGTGGCATCAGTGAGATGTGCCACTTGTTGTAGGCATTTCACAATTTGGAATGTCGTTGAACTATCAAGGCCAGTTGATATCTCATCCATGAACAATGTTTTTGTAGGCCCAACAATCATCTCTCCTGTATTTACATGAATTTAAGCATATTTGTTACTTCTTCCATAATGATCTTACAAGGCTAGTCGTTTAACTGTAAAATTGCCTCATTAAAGTCTATCTTTTCACCCAACATGCTCACTGTAAAACTTTGATGACTTCTTATTCGAGCTCTATAAATATGGACATGGAGTTGATAATTAGAAGGATTTTTAGTAAGAGATGTTAAAAGTAAAACCTGTTGTTACTCTTTTCTTCTGTCCACCAGATATCCCACGCTGCATTTCGTCTCCGACAATCGTATCTCGACATATGTCAAGCCCTAAGATCTGTTTCATATATTAATGGAAAGAAGAAAAAAAAAAGGGATAGACATAGTGAGATCGGAAGAGGCCACTTTATGTAGAGAAACTGATGAGTACTATTGAGGGTTCATCAACTTTAACAATTCCTGTGGATTGAGGCAGATTCGGTTTCTGATTGCACGTACGCTAAGTCAAATGTCTCCAAAGGTATTTCATGTTGAACATGTTTATGATTACCAATTTGCTGGGAATTTTAACAGGAAAATGAATCTTCCAAAACCACGGTGAGAAAGTGAAAAGGACATAAATTCACTTATTTTCATGTTGGTGGACAGATTGATAATCTAGTTGGTTCAAATGTCTGTATAAACCAACAAAAAGGTCTAGAATCAAATAAACAATCTGGGCCACGTTGAAGGATGGTTATAAAAATCAGCAAGTAGTTAGTAGGTGGTCATAAATAGGGTGATTAGGGTCTTTAGATATCTTTCATGCTCTATAAATAGAATACTCTTTTATTAAGTTAATTGAGTAAAGATGTAATCTTTATCCATTCTCTCCCTCTCTTTTGAGAATCCTAGAATATTTACAAGCCTACTTGCAAATAAACACTCGACCAAGTGAAGAAATTCAGGAAAAAAAGAAGACTCTGCTTCCAACTAGCATTAAAATTCAAAATTTGCCAGAAAGTGACGTGCATACTAAACGTTTCACTTACCTTCAAGGTGTAATCTGTAATTAAACTGCTCTCAACACCTTTCATGGCCGTGGCCTGTGAGTGAAATTAATAATTCAATCATCAAGGATCAAGAAATTTTTTTTATACTAAAATGCAATGACCAGGAAATCAAGATTAGTTCAAAAACTAAGGAGATATTGAACTTCATTACCTTCATGAAAAGATCAACCTCCGGCTCTGGAAAAATCCCAGCATCCTTTTCCCTGTTGGCAAGCTCAGAGAGGAGATCTGTGACAGTAAAGACCAATTATACTTGTGTTTGATTACTAAAATATAATAACGCGTCATATGCATTTAAACATAATTTTTAAAGTAAAAAGAATAAATCAATAATTGAACAATTATTTGATAAAATCAAAATTACCATATCTAGTTCCAACTCCTTGGCACCTTGCAGAGAAATCTAGGGTTTCTTTCACGGTCAACACACCCAAATGCACATCATTTTGGCTGATATATGCAGATGTCTTTTGTGGCACAAATTCATTGAGCTTGTACCCATTGTATGATAGTTCCCCTGCAACCTGCTCAATCATGACAATTTCACAAATTACGTTTCATCCTCACCTTTATTATACTAATTAATTAGTAAATCCTTAATAGGGTCAAGAAATTTTATCCGAGTTCAGTCCTAGACCTTCAAGGTTGGGTCCAATCTTCCTGCCAGAGCCAGCAAAAGGGTAGTCTTCCCTGAGGATGGCGGGCCTAATAGAAGGGTCATCCTGTAATTAAGTCATAACAAATGTCCAACCAAGACATTATTGTTTTAAAAACACAATCCGAACTGATTAATTAAATCCTAACAATAATCTCCCTACTTAAGAAGAAATTTTTTTGGGGGGTGTCTTTGGTTCACCTTGATGGCTTGACAATGCCAGAGACATCTTTAAGAATGGTGAGTCTTGTCCTTTTGGCCCGGCTAATCCCAACCAAACCAAGAACTGAATCAGCAACGTTTAGGGCAACATTGGTGAGTGTTGGAAGAGCTCTGCTTCCTATGTGACAATCTGCTTCCACATACAGATGTTCAAATCTCACCTCCACCTTCGGAAGTTGGATACCTACCCTGCAAATAATCATCCAAACCGGAACATTCAACTATAATTCACATTAATTCATGATTAATTAATTGGTTGAGTTGACTAGTTGTTGTCCTCATGAGCCTCCCTCCTTATTAACTGACCTTGTCAACAAGGCGGCATGTCAACCATTGAATTATAAACAAAATTAATCGGCGGCACATATATCAACAAGTTAGATATGGAGAAGCGTGACTCAGCCTTACCTAAATGACAGTGTACAAATATTTAAAATATTCACATGAAATTAATAAAGAATGTAATGCATGTTGTTAGGCTATCTAACTCATCTAAATGTCATAGACAAGCCATGTCGGATACGGAGTAGGATTCTGATGCCTTGTTAGAATTTTTAATCTAAAAGTTTAAGCTAATAATAATAGATTGAGGTAAATCACATGTATATAAAAAGTATATAAAGCCTACAAATAAACGATGTAGGACACTTTTATGCACGCCACTTTCTCCTTCGTTTTTCTCTCCTACCCGGATCCATCAATCCTCAAACGCATATGAGCTATATACATTCACAATGGAAGCAAACAACATGGCAATAAAAAACCTAAAATTGAGTCAACGATATGAGTTATTTTTTCTTTGGTCAAAGCAACGATATGAGTTGTCGAATCAGAGGGTTGGTGGTGCTCACGAGGCTGGCCATTTTCTTTGCTCATGTTCATCTACATTGCTCGAAGATATCACTAAATAATAATAAAATATTGTTATAATTCATCATGATAAATTTTTATGCAATGTCTACTATGGTTACGTATCTTCATGGCAAAAATGAAGAAAACGAAAATGAGAAAGAACCCATGTAATTGCATGGCATTGTTTCCAGACATTGTTATTTATCATTAGTAAAAATGGCTGAGAAAACTAGGGCAAAGTTTAAATTAGAGTAAAATGGCAAGTATTTGAAGCATTTTATTTGCATCCAATTAAAATTGAAAGTGAACTTACTTATTAATCCTGTTTCTGAACTTCCTCAAGAACCTCTCATTATCTTCTTCAGCCACTTGGAAGATCCTATCAATGAACTGCTGCCTATCATTCAGGTCCATCTTCCTCACATCCACCACCATCTTCTGTTCACGGTTCTGCTCGTCATTCTCGACGAAAGTTTGGAAGATGCTCGTCCGTAGCCGGTCGTACGTCGGCAATCTCTCAATTGCAGCCCATTTGAGAGCCTCTTCGTCTTCGTCGATGCGGCTCGTCCGTCTCGATTGCCTAGAGCCCGCGAACACGTCTTCCATGCCCCAGTTAGTCCTGCTCATGCTCCTGCTCATGCTCCTGCTTATGCTCCGGCTCATGTTTTGGCTCCTTTGCTTCCACGACCGCGCCCGTTCATATCCCTCCATTTCCTAGCACTGTTCCTCTTCTTCTTATATTCTTATTCTTGTTCTGTATCAAGTCAATGGTTGCAAAATCTTCATGGACAAATTCTAATTAATAGACCAAGCTGGTATGTTAACTTTAAATTTTGAATGAACACACATATGGCAAAATGAGTCATGCTTAGTGCTGCTAGTGCAAAGTTGAAGCTCATGAAAGAAAGCAAGCGTGCATATCAGCAAAACCATTGTAAATAAAATAACAGAAACGTTCACCTCAAATTCTTGAGAAGAGCTTATGAGGCCAAGGCGCTGCTCAAAGATCAAAACGAAGCTATTTCTTCTTCTTTAGAGAGAGAGAGAGAGAGAGAGAGAGAGAGAGAGAGAGAGAGAGAGAGAGAGAGAGAGAGAGATGGAGATGACGGAGGTCTATAAACTAACGCGACTATATATTATGCAAGAGGCGCCCTATATGCATTCACATGTATAAATGACCAATGAAAGTATGTGATACTCAGTACTTCACGCCTTGGCTTGATCAACGATTTCCGTTAGAGAGACCATGTCCATTCCTTGCATTAGCAAGCAATGTTTTCATCCTTTGACCCAAATGTAGTTAGGTGGGGGGGGGTGGTTTGGGTGGTGTGGTGGTAGAGTAGTCCTCAAATGATATTCTTACTGGGCCAAAGCAACCATGTGATGTCACTTGATTTGGTCCAAGCGTGATTTGTCTAGGAGATGTTTGGTGAGCCAGAGGTAAAACAATATTATAACCTTGACAAGGTCAAATGTTGCATTCAGAAGACTGTATAAAGAAAGTGCCTCCATCTTTACCAACTTCAGTAGGCCATCATTCATGAATGAGGACGGTGATATGGTGGCATGATAAGAGACGACATTACTTGGTCAAACATGTTTCCATGATTACGTAAAAACCTACATTTATGTTGGAATTTTGTTCCTAATCGATATAGTTTTGCTTCCCAATTTGTTCAATCCGCAAAACAAAAATGAAGAGCCGGGTGATGGATTGTGAATTCAATATGCTATGCTCCAAATCCGTCTGATGAATTATCCAGCAAAAAGTGAGTTATTCCTGTAATTAGGTCATCGTGTAAGCCGGGACGACCTGGCTTATCATGGCCGACCCATGACCGAACGATCACGGGGACGAAGATGGCCAACTTAATGACAAGAGAACCCAGCTAAAGAATCCTCTAAATCATCCAAATTAGGGGGGGGGGGGTGTGTGTGTCGGGGGGTGTTAATAAACAAGATAAGCGGGATTAATAATAAGTAAAACCCGTGCCATGCACATTGTCGTATATTCGTTGCTAGAATAAAGCAAACATTCGTGTATTCGTACACTCATTTGATCGGTAGAGTTCATCTAACACGTCAAGTGATCGCTGTTGTTTGTCCTCAACAAATGAATAGGTTTTGGAACACATCATAACTTTAATGGGAAAAGTGCCAAAAAAGTCCTAAACCTTTTTTTATGCCAATTCAGTCCTAAACCTTTTTATGGTGCCAATTTAGTCCTAAACTTTTTGTATTGGTGCCAATTCAGTCCTAAACCTTTTATTTTTGTGCCAATTCAGTCATTCTGGTCAATTTTGGCAGGATTTTGCTGACGTGGATGCTGACCGGCCGGCGGCCGATCACTGGCGCTGACGTGGACAACTTTAATAATATTTTAATATTTTTTTGAATATTTATTTTTTTCTTTTCTTTTCTTTTTCCTCCCCCTCCCCTCCCTCCTTCCTCCAGCCGGTCCCCGGACCGGCGACCGGCCAAAGGCCAGAAGCCAGCGAGGTCGAGCCTCACCGGCGGCTGGGCGAGGCACAACCTCGCCAGCTCCGGTGAGGTCGGGCCTCGCCCAGCCATGGCGAGGCTGGCTTTCGCCGTCGCTGGCAAGGGCAAGCCTCGCCATGGCGCCGGCCTCTGGCCTCTAGCCGGTCGCCGGTCCAGTGACCGGCTAGAGGAAGGAGGGAGGGGAGCAAAAAAAAAAAAGAAAAGAAATAAAGAAATAAAAATTCAAAAAAATATTAAAATATTATTAAAGTTATCCACGTCAGCGCCATTGACCGGCCGGCCAACGTCCACATCAGCAAAATCTGGCCAAAATTGGCCGGAAGGACTGAATTGGCACCAAAAAAAGCTTTAGGACTAAATTGACACCAATGCAAAAGGTTTAGGACTTTTTTGGCACTTTTCCCTAACTTTAATTAGCCCTATCATTTATAGAGTGCATATACTATACATGAATAATCATCTTAAGCTAATGGTGTCTAACTTCATTGACGATAAAAGTTAGTTATAGAATACATGAAGTTGAGAAAGAGACTTACACGAATGCAATTCTAACTTCCGAGGTTTAAACATCCTTTATCTATTTTCCATTTCTTACGTGAGATCAAAGCTAGCACTAAGTTAACATGACCATGGCAAATGTTGGCACCCATTGGTTGTTTCTGAATTGATTGATTCCCTACTCTCCTAAACGGTATTAACAATCTTTGCAGGCTCTTCTCGAAGATCATGACTAAGTAAATCCATGCTGATGTATATTTGACATTAACACCTCCACTTTCTGTGTTTTTTAAGTGAGAGACTGACCAAACATAACCCATCTTCTTCTGTCTAAGGGGTTCTCTTGCTGAATTTGCAATTTCCAGTGTCAAAAGTAACATCAACGACAAGTCTAATGGCTCCTCTTACCTAAAGAGTAGCGGCTTATGATCTCACTATGCAATTATCTGCTATCGGATTTCCTCTGGTGAATGGGGTATGCGAATCGCCACGGATTCAGGATATTTATAAAGCTCTAATAAGAGTATGCTTTTAACAGGAAAAAATGTGATCCGCTAGCCAACTTAGACGGAGTTGATGGAGTGCCTTGATAGCATCAACTTGACAAGTTTTTGGACTCAATTGTAACTTTTGCAATAAGTTTTAATACTCTTTAGATGCACTTATTCGTAAATAAATCTACATGTCTCTTCCATCTTTTTTGAACTGAGGAGTGCTTGGAGTCGGTCAATTTCAGTAGGATGTTTTTTTCTTCTTCCAAGCTTAGCACTAGGAAAAGGGGATGCATGCTATGTTAGTATTGTGGATCCGGAGAAGGCAACGGTTTCCCGATCTCGGCCACGACTTAAAATGAGAATTCAATCAGGTCCTTTTCTCTTTCTCACCTTCCTCTTGGAAGATTCTTTTTCCTTTTTGTAAAGATTCCCAGCATATTGGTAGTCGAGAACATGTTCATCATGATATACCTTAGGAGACACTGGACCTTTTTTAAAATAGTATGTGCAATCAGAAACTGAATCAGCCTTTATCCGCAGGAATTGTTCAAAATTGATGAACCGTCAATAGTACTGATCAGTTTCTCTTTATAAGTGGCCTCTTCCAATCTCACTATGTCTATCTAACTTTTCTTTCTTTTTGGTTTCTTTTTTCCGTTAATATATGAAACAGATCTTAGGGCTCAATATATGTCGAGATACGATTGTCGGAGTCGAAATGCAGTGTGGGATATCTGGTGGACAGAAGAAAAGTAATAACAGATTTTACGTTTGGCATCTCTTAGTAAAAATCCTTGTAAATATCAACTCATGTCCATTTTTATAGAGCTTCAATAAGAAGTCGTGACACTTTTATTGCGAGCCTGCCGTGCAAAAAGATAAATTTCCATGAGGCAATGTTAAACTTAAACAACAAGACTTTTAAGATCATTATGGAAGAAGTAACAAATATGCTCAAATTCATGTAAATACAGGAGAGATGATTGTTAGGCCTACAAAAACATTGTTCATGGATGGGATATCAACCGGCCTTGACAGTTCGACAACATACCAAATTGTGAAATGCCCGCAACAAGTGGCACATCTCACTAATGCCACAATCTTGATGTCATTGCTGCAATCTGTGCCGGAGCTATTCGATTTGTTTGACGATATCATTCTCTTATCAGAAGGCCAGATTGTGTGCCAGGGACCACGAGAACATGCCTCTAGTTCTTCGAGCGATGCGGGATCAGGTGTCCTGAGACAAAGGGTGCCGCTGATTTCTTGCAAGAGGGAAAAAGGGAAATGAGCAATGATGGGATGCTTAGTTTAATAGCTTTTGCCGCATTGTGTGCTCCAACTTTGAGTTTCATTATATGGTGGAATGATCGTTGGTCAGGTCAGGTCGGTGTTAAGAAATTTCACGTGAATTACTGGTAAATCTGTTCAAACTGTGCTAGACTTAGGCTGCTTTTAAAATCTGTATATTAGGTACAAGTGATGTTATCACGTCATGTGTGGTATCGTCACCCCTATGAATCTGACGGTCTGGCTTGATTTGTGCTACTACAACAGGTTACCTCGAGAAAGGACCAAGAGCAGTACTAGGCAGACAAAACCAAACCGTAGAGGTACATATCAGTCAGCGAGTTCGTGAACAGATTTAAGCAATTTCATTTCGGCATGAAATTCGACAACAAGCTCTCCATCCCGTTCGATAGGAGCAGGAATCACCTATCTAGTCTTCACGAAATACTCGGTCCCTATGATGGAGCTAGTTAAGGCTTGTTTCGACAAGGAACCGCAGCTCATAAAGAAAAATGCGTCCCTGTGCATTTTGACGACCGTCCAGATCATTATCGTGGCAGTCATTGTTTCCATGGTGTTCATCAGGAGCAGGATGCGCTCTCAGAACGAAATGGATGGGCAACAGTATATTGGCGCTCTTCTGTTCTTGATGATCATCAACGAGTTCAATGGTTTTCCTGAGCTGAGCATGGCTATTACGAGATTTAAGTTTTGTACGAGCAGATAGACAACCTCCTTGGACCTTCACATTACCTAATTTCTTGCTGATGGTCATCATGTGCTATTCCATGGGATTTGCACTCAAAGTTAAAGTTGCAGAAGCATCACAGAGCCTTAGCAATATCACCATAAGTTGCAAGGGTCAATTGCTTGTTGCCTGCCCTAAAGTTTTGGGGGAGTTTGCAATGTCCTTCCTGACTTTGGCTCTTCACAGTCTATCCAAAAGAAGTCTACAGATCATTCAATCTAATAAGCTAGTTTCTCACTCAGTTTTAGCCATCAAAGAAATGACATTTCTCAAGAGCTTCTTCCTGATAAAGGAAAATAGCTTAGGTCACTTGGTTCGGAAGAATCGCTTACTGTCGTTTTTCCTGCTAGAAGGTATCGCTTTACCTGGAATTCATCACTGTTAGTTAATAGAACAGGCAGACTTTGTATTGGTTTGCAGTTACTTGGGAACGTCACGGCCATATATTGCAAAAGTTGAATCTTCATTGGAGATAGCTGCAATTCTTTCCTTACCTAAGCCAAAATTGCAATTGACCCTGAATCTTACTGCACAATGATGAACTTCGTTAAT